AGAAGCATTTGAAACGTAATAAGTATGGAGCGAATATTTCCACCCAGGGTGGTTGACAGATGGCGCTAGTTATCCTACAGCGGTTCTACGAGTAAGTAGCGTGAGTACGCAGACACTTAAGAGCGACAGTAATGGCACGACGTCTAGAAAAGTGGTCTCGCATAGAGGTGCGAGCCGTAATTCGATTCTTATGGGCCAAAAATGTGGCCGCATCTGAAATTCACAGACAAATCGTTGAGGTATACGGGGACAAAGCAATGAGCAGACAACAGGTAGCGAGATGGTGTCGTTCTTATCAAGCGGGCAGGGAGCATGTGGAAAACCGCAATATGGAAGCGAGCGGCCGTCGGAGTTCTTCAAGGACGGATATCAAAACGGCACGTGCTGAAGAAATCATCCAAAGGGATCAACGAGTAACCGTGCGTGAGATTGCCTCAGAGTTGGACCTGAGTTATGGTAACGTTCAGCGTATCGTAACCGATGAGTTGCGATATTCCAAAGTTTGTGCCTGCTGGGTTCCACGTGCTTTGTCCGCGGAACATAAGGCCATTCGAATGATATGCAGCCTCCATTTCTTCAGCGATACCATTCAGACGGCCAACACTTCATTTGCATCGTTACCGGTGATGAAACATGGCTTCATCACTTCACCCCCATATCCAAAAGAGCCACGATGGAGTGGAAACACGCTGGATCACCGACGAGGAAGAAGTTTAAGGTCACACCCTCTGCTGGTAAAGTGACGGCAACCGTTTTCTGGGATACGACTGGTGTTATCCTAATTGAGTATTTGGAGCATGACCATACCATTAAGGCCGATCGTTATTGTGCCACCTTAATGAAATTGCGTAAAGCCATCCAACGCAAACGGCCTGGATTACTGAGCAAAGGCGTCATTCTTCTGCATGACAATGCCAGGCCCCATACAGCTCGCCAGACTCAAGAATTGCTGCAAAGGTTCAAGTGGGAGGTCTGGACAGCCCCGATTTGGCTCCAAGTGACTATTTCATTTTTCCGGCGTTGAAGCGATACTTATTCGGAACACGGTTCACCTCAGACGATGCAGTGAAAACAGCTGCCGAGAAATGGCTCAATGAGCAGGGCCCTGATTACTACCAAAACGGGATAAACAAGTTGATCGAACGATCTGACAAATGTCTAAACAGGTTTGGCGATTATGTGGAAAAGTGAAGGCCAGATGTGTCTCATGATTCCCATTTGTATCTTGTTCCTATTGTTAATAAATACTTTTTCATTTGCCTTGTAAACATTTTTTGGATCACCCCTCGTATTTTGCATAAAAAGTTGCTTATGTAAAGACTGAGTTTATATAATATATTTTTGTATTGAATTATGGAATATTTAAATATGGGGTTATATGTTAGAAATTTTGTTTTTGTGTAGATGTGTTGGTTTGGGTGATATCTAAATGATAAATCTTCCAATTTAAAATGTAATTTGTATTTCAGACTTAGCTCCATAGTGATTGTTTTGATTTTATATGAGGCTGGTACCGTGATACCGGAATTTTTATTCTGCACATAATTAATTTTTTCTCCTCCCCTCGAAAACGGGGGAATATTTGATGAGGTCACTTTAAATTTATGTCCTTGGAATTATTACAGTCGTCTAAAAACAGATTAGGGATTTCATTTGGCGACAATATTTTACTGGCGAATACTGCATCTGGCTAATACTCCACATTTTACTTACAATAATTTGTCAATTAAAGATCTTGAAGACACATTATTTAAATGTCTATTGCTTTCAGCATGCTGATATGAATCTTGAAAAATTGAAAATATTTCCTTTTCAACAATTCAATTGAAAGTAAATTGCAATTAAATGGGTTTTTTAAATACTTTTCTATATGAATTCAAACTGTTATAAAATTATATAGACATGTACACATTCAGCAGCAGTACTCTCTAAGCCACAACAAAAAGAAAAGGTTTGGTTTGCTCTATTTAATCACCAAACAACTTGCGGGCTATCTGCCTAAGGGTAAAGATACCTTCATTTCTAAGGGAAACTGGCTTGTATATATATCAGGAAAAACCAGGAAAATGCCCATGCAGCTAGTCTGTTGCCGGGATTCGAACCCAGGACCAAACTGGCAGTGTTTGGTGACTTTTGCTGCTCAACAGCTGGTGGGAAAGAACAAAGTGCTTGCAAATTGAACACAAACTTAACGAATCACTCTAGCCTCCTAAAGCTCAGCCCTGTGTGTAGCAATATAAAACAATACTGTTAAGATTGTTTCAGGATTATTTATATAATTACTGTTACATTTTATTAAATTTTTGTTATTTATTTGAACTTGTTTCTTTCACTGCGAGTCTTTGGAAAAGAGATATTAAATTGAGAATAAAAAGTAAATAATTACTGCAAGAGAAAACAGACTTTAGTTTTACATAGGTAATGATATTTTTTAAATACCGCAGCAAGCACACATTAGGTATTCTGATATTAAATTGGTAGTGTTGCAACAAATGTAATTAGACTCTATCAGTAAATAATCAGTTCAATAAATGAAAATAAAAAATAGGGGATCTTTTCCAGTAAAAGATAACACATGCACAACATTTTTTTCAAAAAAGCTACATGTACCAATTTGAAACTTAACAGCGAGAAAATATCATCTCATTATAATTGTGATAAAAATTTTCTAAACATAAGAAATTCATCTTTTAGGCTATTGAACGGAATAGAATTTTCCTCCTTTGGAGGAAAAGAGCACATGTACTTTTAAAAGAAAAAAGGTCTGCATTATGCTTTTAGTTAAAATACTGCATTTATTGGTTCGAAGTTAGTTCAAGCAGGACAAAATTAAAGGTAGATTGAATTAGTTTCAATATTTTTTACACTTTATAATTAATTATGAATAATATACAGTTCAGCATAACCAAGTGTTCAGAATACTTAACTGAATTTAAATCCGAATTCTATTTTAAAATCTTGTGAAATCAATTTGAAACATACTTCTGAAATAACAAAGATATGGAAATTTTTAACAGAAAACAATAAAAATATCAAAATCAAAACTGAAATCTTATTGATAAAAAAGAATAACTCATTATGATAGTAAAGAAATTTAATTGACTGAAGTAAAAAATTCTATAAGCTTCATTAAAATTTCGCCACAGGTTATATCAAGCTGTGTATCTAAGCATTTTACAAAATGAGAGACGCGAAGAACTTATTCTAATTAAATTTAACACATACACAGCAAGTATTATTACTAGTAATATGATTATTTTTCTCAGGGGAAGGGGCTGAAAAATATCTTCAAATTAATCATTCATAAAAAGTACTATAAGCCTTACAACATGAAAGCTGTAAATTAATTTTATAATTTGAGGAATAAAATACAATCATTACTAAGCAAAATATTATAACGTTGAAAATAACGCAATCCATCACATTAAAAACATAAACATTTCTTCACCCGCTAGACGTCTAGCTACTCCATAAATGTTTACATTTGGAACTGCAGCACCATCTAGTGAACGCGACATTTTAGGACCCGTTTTTCTACTAGACAGTTTCACCTCCTTCATTATACTCCGTGAGGAGGGCGCTGCGATTACCGAGGCAAGCGGCTGCACGTTCACAGCGTTGAAAAACATCCCTTTTCCCTTAGTGATTATCAATTAAATTACTTTGAAATAGTGTTTTTTCTTCAAAATCTACACCTTTTACAAAGATTTTCAACTCCGATGTTGATGAGAATGAAACAGCGGACAACGTGAGGATATACTACGAAAGCTTGGAATTTTAAGATAAGTACCCTTCTTTCATTTAAACTAAATCAAATTTCTATAAATAAGTGCCTTTAAATCACTTAATTTTTCCTCTGTTTTTAGCATTAAACAATATTTATAATTGCTCATTGCTTGTGGCTTCCTTTGTGGTTACAATTCCAAACAGACGCCAACGTTATCAGTTCACGTCTATCACCACCTACAAAGCCCCCCTTATCTTGTTTTGAAGAATCTCGTGAGAGGGAGAATTGGGGCATCGCGCTACTTTCCTCTCGGATCTTTTGTTTTCCCTTTTTTGTTAGGTCGTTTAAAGATATTTTCGCCTTTAACGCAATCCATAATATTATACCTCACCGATTATTTTTCTCATACTGTTCCTTGCTATTTGTTAAATGTCCAAATGTAAGGGATGGATTATTTTTCATTGCCTTAAATAAATTCTTAGAACTATGAGAGTGTTCCTCAATGTGTTAAACTAGCATTAATTAACTTGTAATAAATTATGATAGTTAAATTAATAAACACTATGTTTAATTTATGTTTTTACTACATATACTCTGTAATTTACACACACACATATATATAAACATATATGTAATTTTTTTGTGTGTGTGCGGCTGTGGTCTTGTATTGTGTATGGTTCTATGTTCTTTGTCTGCTGCTGTTTTTTTTTTTTGAAAAATGTATGAAAGTGTTGGGAAGGAAAATAGCATAAGTTACTTCAGTTAAATTAATATATACTTTTGTCTGATGTTATGGGTCTTTTGCTGTTGTGTCTCAGGTTGCAAGCATACATATTACTTTGTATTCCATGCTAAATACCTTGATACGAAGCATTTTAACATTGTCACCTTTTTTTTTTTTCTTTTCCCAGTACCACATCTATTCGACATTACCAAACACACTCACTACACACACATCTGTGAGACACTATTTATTGTAAATGAAGACAGCTTCTTCTGTTTTTAACTACACTCATGGACACAATCGTTTTATTTTAGGATATTTTCTACTTCTTTTCCTTTTCTTTCTATAGGCCCTTTTTTTCCCCCCTCTATTATTTTTTGGGCCATTTATTTTAAATTTTATTTTGTCCCATCTTTTCTTCCTGGCCTTTTGAACTTGTACAAAATGTACGAAGTTCTTTTTTACTCTCCTCTGGAATATGAAATTGCCCCTCTTTCTTCGCACCTAAGCTTGATTTTTCGCCCATCGGCGCAGAAAGATTTAGCGGGTGCAAAACAAGACATCTGTCTACTTTGTCTGTCTGTCTGTTGTCATCGGCGAAGTGAGTAAGCGAATTTTGTTTCCAAATTACTTTTGTAAGCTTCAATTTAAAACGTTTTTTACTATGCATGTCATGATAATCTGGTTATTTATTCTAGGGAAATATTTTTATTTTGCCATGAATTTCCCAAAATGCGGCAGCCAGGCTAAAATGTTTACTATCTTTTGATTTTAAAGTCATGTTTGTTTCAGCAACTAATATTACTAGGGTATCCAAGTTTAATTAGAAATACACAGAAAATGATTATAATCGCTGTTTGTCAAATTGTATATTAGGAAAACAAGATGGACTGTTATTCTTTTGAAAATAAAATTATCAAATCCACTTTCAGATCTTTGATATAGGTATTTAAATTAAAGTTATGACTTTAGAAACGTATTCGGAAAGATTAACAAATTGTTTTATTTAAAAAAAGAATGAGGGAAAGTTATTATTTATCTCCCAAAAATAGACAGCTTAGTGCCCACCTGCGTAGATTTTTATGTTTTCTAATCTAAATTACTTTGTATTTCCAACATAAAAGTATTAAAAACGTTTTCTTATGTACTTTTATTTAAATGTAATTTAGTAAGTTGAAAGTAAACAAATTATTTTCTTCTCAGATTATCAAACTCGAAAATGGATTTTCCATCTCTGAAACCTCAGCATCATGCCCTTGAAAAAGTGCAGATTCCTGAAAGTGGAGAATATGGTACATGTAACACAATGACAAATGGGTGAGGGTTTTTTTGTTTTGTTTCTAATTTGTTCTTTTTTTTTTTTTTTAATGTTGTAACATGATATGTGTAGAGGAGCAAAGTAAAATGGAAATCAGGTATATATTAAAGTTGGTTTTATAGAAAACTTCTGTTCAAGGAAGCGTAGTTTAAGATTCTTTTTTTTTCCTTCAAAAAAAGTAAAAATATTATTTTGGAACTTTTTTTAAAATTGAACAGAAGAATAAAAGAAATGATATCTATTTCTCTTGAGATATTCAAAAATTTTAGATTAATCTAATGTTAGCATTTTACTGTGCATTTTGCTCTTCAATGAAGATGATCCTTGTAAGCTGTTTTTTATTTTGTGTGTGTGTGTGTGTTGTTGTTGTTGTTGTTTTGTTTTATATTCCAATATTATTATTATTAGTGTTATTATGATCTTTGAAATAAAAGAACTGCAAGTGATAAAATAAAATTACTCATTTTCATTGCAAGAAATGTAGAATCCCCCCCTCGGGAAAAAAAATCAATTTTTTTTTTTTGTTAAATGTTTGATGGATTGGGGCTGTAGTTTTTGTTGACATTCAGTATTAGTTTACTAATAGAAATAGGTTATGGGTTAGGTTAAATTCTGTTACCACAGATGATAAAATTTATATTTAATGATTTACTTAAAGTCTTATTTATATTCTGAAAAATACACTAATAAAATATGTTGTTTCTCATTACACTACTATTTCTGTTTCCTTAAAATAAACAAAAAATATTAAGTGTTAACTGATAAAACCTTTACGGTTGATCTTTAGATTATGGTAATTTGGCGACCAACTCTCCTACGGCAACCCTCTATTTTTTTTTTCTCGCCGCCATTTTGTCTTCACGAAGCAAAGACATGTTTCTTTTCTTTTTATCTACTGAACACTTCTTCCAACAATCTACTAGCCGAATTACACTTATGCTAGAAATTTTATCTAACAAAACTGCTTAATCATGATAAATATTCACTGCAAAATTGGGAAAAAGTGCACAATACCATACTCCTTATGCGTTTTTCAAAATAACACATACACATAAACCATGTACACGTCGACTTATTTTACTTAAAAAAAAACATCCCAGAATTACACAAAAATGGCATTGCACACTCTTCACTATATCCATGTACACTGCTTTTTTCTCATAAAATTAGAAAAATTTCACGAAAATACATGACAATTTTCTGAATCTTTAAACCTGGTAAAAAAGACATATATGAAATTACCTGATCGCGAAAAAGTATATACCCTTTCCAAATATGAACATTTCCACATATAAAATAAATAAAATATCCAAAAACTTTTACCTCTAAATCATCTATTATATTATAAATGTCACCAACGAATTCATACCGCAAGCATTACAAACACTTAGTGTCAAATATTTAAATTATTTCCATGCATGTTTACTTCAACTAAAACGTATAACAAATTCCTACAAACACAAAATTCGCAAAATAACTATCATTTAATTAAAATATAATTAAATTCAAAAACACTACTTAAAATATAAATAAGCACATACATTAAAATTAATAAAAAATTAGCTTACAATCCTAATTAGTTTAAACTAAATCATTGCTAATAACAATTTTCCCAAATAATACCAAATTACTTTACTTCACCTTACATTTAGAACAATGCATAAAAATAATATCCTGAAATAATTAAAAAATACTAACTTACCTAATCTTTCAGAATCTTGATTACGTGTCCAATAAACTTTTCTTATTTCCTCGGCTAAATAAAAAAGCAAGCGTATGTGCGCCTGTTTCAGGATCTTTAAAATCATACTTATAGTTCACAGCAAGGTACCAGGTAAAATAAATAACTTAATAAAACATCTTTACTTCTATCTCGCACAACCTTAAAGAAACACTTATTACTACCCCTTTCAATCCCACTAAATACCCATTTCGAATTCACTTTAGTTAGGGCCATGGGATCCAAAAATTAACGAACACTGTTTCACACAACACAGAATAAAGCCAAATACAAAATTTCCAGATTTTTTCCCGATTTCCCCCTTTTCCGATTAAAGAACCGTAATTCGTCCATTAATATCACATGACATATCCCATGATCTCTCATTTCCCTCACACAAAATAATGCATAATCGGAACTGAGTACTGCTCACATTATTACCAAAGTCCCAGGTAGTAACCTTTATCGCCTCCAAAATGTCGCCAAACTACCAGTTACCATATTCTAAAGATCAGCCACTTTTACTTTGCTATCTTAAACAGTTCTCCAGATTATTTTTTAAGTATGTTGGACTAATAAACTGCATCAAGATAAAAAAGATCTTGTCAACTCAGTTAGCTGTATGTTTGTGACAAAGCTTGTGCAAAGTTTATCCTTCAAATGAACAATTACACAAAGCGCAGTATTCGCTTTTTATTAAATTTGTAAGAGACAGCATCAATCACTGATGAATTTTTTTTTACCTTATGTTGTGCACGGGAGGGGGAAGTAGAATTATTGCTTGCTAGCCAACTTTCTGCAATTCTTTAAATTTTTTCCATCACAGTCAGGAGAAAAAAATTAAAGAGATATTCAAAATTAAAGATTAAACTAACAGATATGATTTTAACTTTCTCACATCTGCCCTTACTTGAATATGTAGAAAAATTAAAAATTCCCCGATTGAAGAAGCATGATTAAGTGAACTTACGTGATTAGGTTAACTTATGGGCTACTGATTTACTGAAGTACTTTCAAGTTGCATGCATTTCACAGATGATCAAAAGGTAAACCATTCTAGAAATAAAAATATATTTAAAAATAAAGTAGTTTGTAGTAATTTTACATAAGTTAATCAATTTAATATATATACGAAGCGTATTCGGAAACTAAGTACCGTTTTGAAAAAAAAAATAGTAAAACAATTTTTTCGAATCCAATTTTATTTTTACATGAAAATACATGTCTTAAACTATTTTTCAACATAGTTTCCGCCAATGATCAAACACTTGTCATAGTGGGTGACCAGTTTTTTGTATACCATCGTCAAAGAAACTTCCCGCCAGTTTCGATAACCACGACTCCACAGCATTTTTCGCTGTCAGATCCAAAGCGCTTGCCACCAAGCTCGCACTTCATGTGCAAGAAAAAGTGATAGTCGGACGGCGCCAAGTTCGGGCTGTACAGCGGGTGATCGAACTGCTCCCAATGAAACTGTCGAATTAACGATTGAGTGACACCAGTAGTATGGGGCTGAGCATTGTCATGGAGCAACACAATTCCTTTACTGAGCATTCCTCTTCATTTGTTTTTGAATGGCATGCCTTAGTTTTGTTAAAGTCTCACAATATCGTGCCGCATTAATGGTTTCACCTCTGGGAAGAAAGCGTCTGTTCTCATGAATTGCTTCATCAACTTTCCTTATCAAATCATCGGTGACAACCGACTACTCCGAGCCTCGGCATGGACATTTGTTCGACCTGCATTAAAGATTCTTACCCACTTTCTCACCATTCCATCACTTATCGTGTATTCACCGTAAACTTCTGTCACTTGACGATAAATTTCGTCCGGTTTAACATTCCTCGCGTTAAAAAATTTAATCATGGCACGAATCTCACAGTCAGTGGGAGAACTAATTGTCTTAAACATTTTGAATGTGCACAGCAAACTGAAAACACAACATAGAGCAACCAAAATGGCGACAATTGAAAGTCAGTGAACAAGAAAGACTAGTGCCCATGGGCAGGACACCTACCACAGCACTACGACGGCGCTAGAATGAAACAGTACTTTGTTTCTGAATATGCTATGTATATATATATATAAAATACTATTGCTATCATTAATTAAAAACAAATTAGCATCCAGTATCTAAAATTAATTGCATTAAACTCGATAAGTTGTATTCATTTTCATGCTGAGTACTTATATTACAGATTTGTCTCAGTTAGAAGTCAGATGTGTGTCCCTCATCCTTTAGAGCACTCAGAAAAAAATGTAAGTTATAGTTTTGCAATAATATATTTGTTATGTTAGAACTACTTGCATTAAAAACAATTAAATTTTTTAATTACTTGCATTAAAAATAATAAATCATGATAAATGCAGCTAGTGACAACTCAGTGGCAAATTTAAACATTAATAAGATAAATTTTGATAAAAAGTAATAGTACTCTGATAATCTGTTCAACTCTGATAAGAATTGCTGGGCAAAGTGCTAAGTTGCCAAAATAAGCAACCCAAAATTTTACAAAAATGTATTTATCTGCCACCCACCAATTGTTGTGGGTGCATTTATGTTCAGTTTTGAAATTCAAAATTCACGTTTGTGATTTCTGCTTGTTTTGATGAGTGTGTTGATTTTTTTTTGATAACAAATCATAAAGCTACTGTGGACTTTGTATGCTAATGAGAAAAAAAAAAAAAAAAAAAAAAAAAAAAAAAAAAGGTTGCATTTTTTCAAAAATATGGCATTTTGCTTAGTCATAGAGAGTGTAGGACTGTCCATTTCATTAACTTAATGTGTGCAATTCTGTGTTTTTTCTTTAAGTTAAAATAGGTTAATGTGTACATGGGCAGAAGACCATGAAAAACAAAAGTTAAGTGTTTTAATACAGACTTTTTTTGCTGTTTTATTTTGTTATATTTCATTATAGATGCTTTTTTATGTATTTTTCAATGTTTCATACTTTTTTAATTTCATAAATTTATTTCTGTTTTATGTAATTTATCATTAATCCTTGTTAATGCCTTACTTTTTTAAATGGCTACTATTTTTTTGTATGTTAAGTTAGTGACTTTGCAAGAGAGTTGGCCAGTTAATTAGTGAGTATCAGAGTGATTTTATTAAAATTTATCATTAATCTTTAAGAATTTATGAGGCCTCTTTATTAAATACTAGCATTTTATGAACACGTTGTAGTGAACTTTCCCTAAAATGACTAAAGTATGTTTTATCATGTAAACTGATTATTTTTTTATTGAAATTAATGCTAAAAGAAAGTTAAATTTTTATGTAATGAAAGCATGAAATAAAGGAGAAGCAACTTTGAGGTTGAACTTTACTGTATGGTTCTGCTTGGTTTCTGTCTGAAAAAAATCACCAAGTGGTATTGGTTGTTCTTGAAATCTGGAAGCCCGCTGCGTGAAGTAAGTTTTTTGGTAACCGTAATGTTGATAATGTTGGTGAAACTAGTCATGGGGGAAAATTGCGAACATTGCCAAATGTGTTAAGTTGAAATTTTGGTTGTTTTTTGTAATAGTAATCCTTTTGTATAGACCATAGATTTTGAATTGCTATGTTAGGTTGCATGTGCATAATGTTTTTTGAAAGTGGTGCCTGAAAGTTTGCTTAGTGTTATAAACGAGTATATTATTCTGGATACGACTGTTTGGAAGGAGTGCATAAAATAGAAGGAACTGATTTATGGCTTTCTTGCATGCTATTATATGTATTTATCCGCTATTAACAGCGGATGAACCAAAATGACCAGATATTTAATTGAATTGCTTACATGGACGAGGATGATGTTAGGAGGTGTAAAGGTATGCACGTGAAGAAAACATATGTTAAAGAATTAATGTTTTATTTATTTATTGGTGTCTGTGTGTTAATTTATGTTGTTTAATGTTTTTATGTTAGGAAATATGTATTTTTGGTTATTTGTTCGTGTTTGTGTGTTAAGACAGCAGCGAATTTTTTTCTGGTTAACATGATAGTTTTAACTTTGTTTTAGCTTTCTGATTAAGTGAAAATAGATCGACGTGTGCATGGAGAAAGTGAAATTAGTGCACAATGCCTAGTTTGTGCAATTCTCTGATGAAGTTAAAATAGGTTAATGTGTACATGGATAGAGTTAAATTAGTGAGCAATGCCTAGTTTGTGCAATTATCTGATGTTCTTTAAGTTAAAATAGGCCAATGTGTACATGAACGCAGAGTTTGCGTAAGTGTTTGATTTCTTGTTTTGATTTTCTGTAGGGGGTGAAAGGATCGTCACCATCTTGAAATTGGTGCCGATCCTTCGTGGCGCCAATCTTGTCAAAGATTCGCCAAGTGGAACCGTAGACTAAAGATTAACCCAACTTAGAAAAAGATTCTTGAAAAGGTGATGCTAAAGAAGGAATACATTCAGGATTATTAACAAGATCCAAATGATTTTATTAATATAAAACACCTCCAGGAAGGCTAGACAGGACTACAGGAAGGCTTTAATAATTTTGGCTGGAGAGCAATAGATGTTTTTTTTTTTTTTTTTTTTTTTTTTTTTTTACCAGACGTAATGATCAGTAGAGGTTTGATGAGTTTTTTTTTTTTTTTTTTTTTTTCTGAATATAAGTCTCATACATTTTAGTATGAATTTTAAGGTTTACTTTGAGCAATGTATATTAAATCACAGCAACAAGGAATACCATAGAGACTTGAGAAATTGTTATCTAGAATGGTGTGTAAATTTCGTGTGGCAAATTTTATTAGCAGGAGGGAAAAACATGAAAATATATGTAAAATCCATTCAGTTTTACCCAATATTTTTGCATACAATTTATGTATTGATAGAAAAAATTGAATATCGTAATCAGTCCAAGTATGTTTTCTCTTGTGTTGAGATGACAGTTTTTTAACCATGTGGTCAATAGTATAAGATATTGAAACTTATATAAATTGTAATCATACTTAAATGGTCAATAGTATAAGATACTTAAATGGTCAATAGTATAAGATATTGAAACTTATATAAATTGTAATCATACTTAAATAGTTGAATTTCTCGATTAAGAGCTTTTTGGATGGGCAAACTTTGAGTGCATGAGAAATGAAAGTAAGAAAATGAAACCAGAATATGTTTAGCAGGATGACAAGATTTGATGTGCTAGGGGAGACAACCTTATTAAGAATTATGATAAAGGTATTGAAGTTAGATTTGTTGCGTATGACCAAGGCATCAACAAACAAACACACAGGATGACTTCAAGTTAAAAAGTGAACCAAATAAAATGTCTCATGACTGAAAATTTTCTTTTTTCCTGTTAAACAGTGCTCATAGATCAATCATCAACATAATGAAACTAAGCTAGGATGTGTAATTATTTTAAGTAATTTAGATTCAAATAATGCATGCACATATTGTCAAGAATAAGGCAGAGAGGGATTTCTGTGGATAATCCTTCAGTTTAGCAACAATAATTATTTTGGAAAACAAAGTAAGCAGCTATGTATGTAGCATTATTTTTGTTCTTGCATTTTCATGATATGTTGCATGTATTTAAAAGTTGTCTTATTTTATATAGTTTTCTATTTATCTTCATTATGCTGATGTTCCCATTTTAATCAAATTTTATTTAAACTAACATTATATTACTATTATAATAGAACATTATCTGTAAAGTTTCAATTATAGTGTTGATATTTTTATTTAGTTTAAAGCAAATGCTGAGAAAATGTGCTTGGCATTTCTTGCTTCTGTTCAAGGAGTTGCAGCCCCTTTAAAAATCATGCATGAAAAAAATGCTGTAAAAAAGGTAAAATCTTTCTTGAATAAGTCCTTTATAAATGTAGTTTAACATGTATATTATTTAAACACTTGCACTTGTAAAATAAAGTAATTCAATATTCGGGCCTCCAGACCACCAACCAAAATGTAAACAAATAAATAAGTAAAAATAATAAGAGAACTTCCCCCCCCCATAAAATCTAGGAATGAAGAATATCAACAAAAGAGGCATGTATGTCATAAAAGCGATTTTTCTCTCAAATAACTGAAATTCCTACAATCACTTTCAAACACCTGCTGGCTATGAAGCTGCATTGTAGCCAAGAAAAATACATTGATTGGCATAGTATAGATGTTGGCCAGGATCACACTTATGGCTCTCGAGTGGTTGGGGGGGGGCAAGATCACCACTATGAATTTTGCTGCCTGATGTGTGGGATCTAAATTTTTATGCTCCCATTAAATTCTAAAATTTTTACCACCTAATGTGGCATACTGGCTCTATGGAAGCAGGGAAGTATTCCTCTGACTGACCTAAGCAATAAGCAATGCCTATTGCCATCTCTGTATACATTTAAATTGATGATCTAAAATCCAGAATTGCTGAAGTCATAATGATTCCAGATTTGGACTTTGTTCTATATACTAGTTCTTTTGTATATAGACTGAATGAAAAGCCTTAAAACATTCTTTTTGACTATGGGCCTATTTTATATATCATTTTATCAACAATTAAAAAACATGGAATAGATTGTGTTTTTGTGACATCCTCTTAGATTCTAAATTTTTTGTGGATGTGGGATTTGTGACATCCTCTTAGACTTGTGTGTGTGACATTTTTTATTTCCTTTCTAAAGTGGAGTACCTCTTCTGGCATAACTGCCTTTTGATACTTATGTATTAGCACACATATTCCAATTGTCATGTATTATTTTGTTGTGTATAATTATTACATATTTTACTGTGCATAGGGAATTCTTAGTGATTATATTATTTTACTGTGAATAATGAATATGTAATGTTCTTATTTAAGGATTAATATTTAATATTTAGTTTTGTTTAAATTTTTTGTTCGTTTACGGCAAAGCTCTTTTAAGTTTAGCTGAAGATGGGATAAAGATAAAAGGGCGCTGGCATATTTCGATCTCACAAGGCGGCTTCTTTAGAGGGTCAGGGGTCGAACTGCCCAGCTGCAATTTCCTTTTCTCTTTTCGTGGGGTTGACCACTTGTTTAGGGTGTGGGGGCGACTTGTTTAGGGTGTGGACTTGACCACTTGTTTAGGGTGTGGGGGTGTATTTCAGCCTTTCTGGAGTAGAGAACTGGGTGATGTGTTTATTACTTACTGGTGTTGCAAGTTTTACTGAATTATGGGTTAGAAACACTCCTCTGTGGTGCGATAAAGAAGGGTATGTCATTTTTGTGAGGGGTCTGATTTTCTTCGAAGTTTGGTAGTTATTTATCACCTCTATTTTAGTTGGCTAGAGGGAGTTCAAGTTTCGCTTAAGATTGGCTAATTTTAAATTTTAGTATTTTTTGAGTCAATAGTGAATTAGAGGGGTTTCATTTGAGAGTCAAGCGAGTTTTCTTAAGCCATTGCATGAAAGGAGGAGGGAGAATTTTTGTGAGATTTGGTCCATTTTTGATCTACTTTTGAGAGGAGCTTAGCCCGGCGAGTGCGGTTAATATTGTTTATCTCCGAGGTGCTGGCCACGGGGGCAGATCCGAGCTCGTCAGGGGCTCCCATCGGTTAGACTTCAGCGAAATTGGTTGAAGATCTGGGGCTAGGTCCAGCATTTTTCCTTGACTGGCAACTTTTGATCTCACGTTTTCTACTTGTGGAAGAGTTGAGTCTGAATTGCTCGCGCTGAATTTCCAGTTTGCTTTGGAAAATGTGGAAAGAGGAAAATCGTTATTTCCTTATGTCTGCCGTTTTCTGTTATCTTCATAAGAACTTCAAAATAAAAGGAAAGGCTGATTTTTTTTTTTTTTTTTTTTAGTTAAAATGCTGCTAGACGGAGGATAGTGCTGGAATTATTAGAAATTTCCCATTGTGATTTAAACAGACATCCTGACTTGGTTTTCCTGACAACGATGGAAAGTGAAACTATGCGAAAATTCCCGTTGTGCCTTCGATACAGATTCAGATTTCATACAGATTTCAGTGCCTTCGATACAGATTCAGATTTCAGGAAAGCCGATACAGATTTTAGTATCGGCTTTCCTGACATCGATGAAGTTCTGGCAGTTATTGTTTCAGTGTTTTGTGATTGGTTCCGGGCAGCTCCCCGAGTCCTTCAGACATGTGTACGCGGATTCTGTAAGAGACTTTATATTTTCATTTTTGCTTCTCTTTTAATAATTAATCTTTAGGATTTTGGAGATGTTAAATTCTAAAGCTTTACCTGACATTTTTATGTAGATTAAAATTCGAATATTTGCTGTTAATCAATCAATCAATAGTTGAGAAAGTGTTATGAGTAATTTATAGTTGAGATGGTGTTAGTTATTTTTTTTTTCAATGTTTAATTGTCCTGAATTTAAATTCTTGAGTACATGTTTAAAAGATTAATAACTGTGAGGTGTTTCACTATGATTTTTGTACAAATTGAATAATGTTAAAAATGAGATTGAAATGAAATGAGTACTTTAAAAAATGTTTTGTAGGGGTAGTCTGGCCAGCTATTTTAAATTATAATGTGTGGAAATATTCAATAAATGTATTATTAATTTAATTATTGTATGTTTTAATTGTGGTCTACTGTAGGTCACCCATGTGATCCTTGCGGAACATGGTTATTCAATTGCACTTGGTAACTATATTGGTAGTAGAAAAAATCAGTTTTAAGAGTTGCGACTATACGATCGGCTTAATTAATTTATTTAGAATTGATGAGTAGACTTATAGATAGATCCTTCTCTGGTGTTTTGAAGATTTCTGTGCTGTATATTAAAGGCATTGGGTTTATGGCTATCTCTAGATTTTGTATTGAAAATTATGTGTTTTCAGATTGGAGATCTGAATTACTTTTATTTTAGAGAGAGATAGCGTGTTACGGAAATGTATTTTTACATTTTGTTTGATAATAATCTTTGATTCTAACAAAACACCAGGGAGGATAGTAATTTTTTTCTTTGACTTTATGAGTCAAGAATAGTTTCTCTTTTATGTAAGAGTACTTAGAAGTTTTTTTTTTTTTTTTTTTTTCGTCGTAAGAAGTCAGTTTATTTGTCAAAATAATTTTTAACATTTTTTCCCCTATGTAACACAATAGAAGTTGCCTAATTTTAAAATAGCATCAAATTCTGGCAAACATGTGCATAAGGCAATTGTATGCATATCATGCAACCATATGCATCACATTTTTTGACTTTTAACAAGCAACTTTGCCATTTTTTTATATTCTTTTACCGTGATTTTTGTAAGCATACAAGAACCTGCTTGTAAGCAGGTTACTGACTCATTTTTGGAGTCAATAACTTAATTAAAATTTCAAATATATGTAGTTATGTCAAATATTTTTTGCAGTTATAAATCATTATTATTTTTTAGTACTCTTCTGTTATCAGGACCAGATTTAGAAGTGTATATATGTATGCACATGTGTATATATGTGTGTACACACACAGATACACATATAGACATTTCTGGACCCGGTGCCCCCTGATAACAGAACAGTACTTCTTTTTCTTCTGTAAAAATTACCAAACTGCCAACTGACAGTAACATGCGTCTCTCTTCAATGTTAAGAATTACCTGAAATTATGTGTCATTATGTCTGCACTTTATGCAGGATATTCTAGTATTGACAAATCAGTTTTATGCTGTTATCACCCATATAGATGCAAAACAAAGTATGGAATTTTTCAAGGAAATGAGTTCTTGCAATACTACAGGCTTCTATCTTCAATATTTTATGATAACCACCAAAATATTCCATTCAACACTACGTTTAACTTAACCAGTCAAAAAGAAGGATGAAACATGGAACTTAACTATATAATTTATCTAAAGTTTCTGGAAAAGTTTTGTTCGACAAGAAGTTAAGGAACATTTTTGTCCCGTCTGATAGCAGTTTTAGACAGTCCTCTTGGAGCAATTCATGCAAAATTTATTTATTATAACAGCAACATGTAGATGGGCATTGTCTGGAAGCCAAACATCTATTTCTTGAGTAAATCTGTTCATTTCTTCCTTGTGGCTTCATATAAATAGTTTTAAAACAAATTACATAATAGTCATTAGGCACTGCATGCTCACCCATGGATATGAACCCCAGTGGATAACCTGCTGGAATAGTAAACAGCAGGTTATCTGCTTCAAGACAGTAATACACAAGTGATAGATCGATTTTTTGTGTATTACTTACTGCCTTGAAGAGACTCCATTGAAGAACTGAACATGGCTTTACTACAATATAAATACTTTGATATTTCATGTTTCACTTCAGTTCTTAATTTATTTAATGCATATTTCAACCACAATTGTAGTACATTTTCATTTGTATAACTGTGATTTCTTAATTCATATATTGCCATAACTGTAACTGTACCATGCTTTGTCATGAAAAGACATCATATAGAGACATGCTTTGTCAGAAAGACATATAGAGATGTCTCCCATGACAAAAAATACTTGATTCTTTCACTTTATGGCTAAATATTGAAGCTCATAGCTGTACATAAGAAATTTATAATGTGACATTTTTTATCAGCTTTTGCTGAATGTATGATTTATTATATATTTTCTATTACTGTGAGTGACCTTTATTATTTTTTGTAGATACAACGTTTGCCCTTTTTGCCAAGCTCAAGTATTGCTTTAGAAACATTAGAAGGGCGAGATGAGACAATTGATTTTGATGATTATGTATTTAATGGTAAGTAACTTTTAGACAACATTATATTGATAAATCAAAGTTTTAATGGTTCTTATTTATGTCACTTTATCTTGTAGATCCTGTGGAAGGTATCGAATCGCTTGCACCGCCACATATGGTTATGGAAAAATTTCTCTTCGGACCTAATGTGTAAAAAGATAATTTATTGTTTAAAATATCATTCATGTATTTTGTGAATAAAATTTTTAAAAAGCTAATTTGTAAATTATTTTCCTTAAACTTTGTTGCAATTTTATTGTGGTGGAAACTTAGTTTTTTTAATTATAAAAGTCTTCGAAATTCTGAGAATTAACTTTTACTTAAGGTCTTTGAAAAGTTTCCTTGTTAATTTTATCATCAGAATTTGCCAATACAGCCACAGCCATTACGTTTTAGCTCTTTTAAATGGTGTTTTTTTATGAGAGATTTCTGCTGTATATTTTTGGTAGTTTTGATAAAACTGAAATATGCTATATGGCTGTGTTTATAGTAAAGGTATCATAAATAAAAAATCAGATGAAATATCTTTCATAATGTTGTTTTAATTGTAAAACACAAAAAAAGTTCAAGAATAAAATTACATATCGAATATTTATTTTATCTTTCTATATCATAAAAAAAAAGAATTAATTCATTTTCAGATCAGTTTTGTGTATTAAGGTCTGAGTAGGGTTGATAACTCTATCCAGTCACAAGGAATACTATAACATATGTTTATATTAATTATTTTTTCATTATTATGATACAATTTTATAATTTCATGTAGATTAGCAATTTCTTAACTTTGAAAGCGATCGAAAAATGTTTCATTTTAGGAATTTAGATGATAAGATCGTCACTTCATTAAACACAAAATATACATCATTAGAATTAATACAGAAATAGACAAAAGCTTGAAAAAATTTAACTCGTGAGTTAACCAACCATCTATTTTCCATTTAGTTGACACTGAAAATTCTTTCACAATACGCTGATGTTGCAGGGATTGAAAACATGAAATGCTTTTAAAAATACATTTACATTTGTAAACAGCATTTTAATAATCATGTACCATTTGCTGTTTGATGTTTTGGATCTTGTATTTAAAAAAAAAATAATGTTCCCTTATGAAAAAGATGATCCATATTCAAATCAAACTTTTCTCATAGCTTCGAATTTTCATTAACTTCAACAAATTTCTGATGTGCTGAAATGAATAATTTAGGACGTAGAATTGACAATTTTTCAAAGGTAGAATTTTTATCTAAATTAATCTTCTAAAGTAATTGCTGAAGAAAGAAATAATTTAAAGTCATCGATAATCTTTTGAGATTCTGGGTTACCTAATTTTTTCAAGATTTAAACTTATTTGTTAAGCTGGTCAAAATGTTGAAAACATTTGTATCAGTTGTTTTTATTCTTTCAACAGCTAAGCCAAATATTGATATTAAAAATGCAAGAACAATGACTACTATTTATGCGAATCTAATGCGCATCCCCATTTTAAAACTTTAAATAATAAAAAAAATTTTTGTCGGCGAATGCAATGCGCATCAATGATATGAGGAATTTATTGAATCTTATTTTATATAACAATGGATTTGTATATATAAAATTAATGGTATAATTTATTAAATTTAGATACCATATTTTATACAACAGTAACATTTATACATAAAGTAGCAGAAATAGAATTAACCTATGTGGGCTATTGTCATGTGAAACAATCATTGTTAATTAGCACACCGTATATACGGTACCTATCGTAAAATATGAACATGAAAAATCGTAACATTTCTAGCTAGCTAACAGTTTCTACATCAGTGATTAATAGTAAACGTTTTATTCACTAATGTTTCATCACTGGAATCTCGCAGCTCTCTTCGTCAGAAGAGATCATTTCTTCCTCAATCGTCATCCTCAGCGTTCCAGAGCAGTCATCGTCACGCCATTCAACGAATTGAACGCAGCATTTCTTGAAAGATTTACACCATGGTGCTTCGATGCTTTTCCAGCAGCAGAAACCCGGGTGCCAACATGTGCGGTGCAGCCACACTTAATTTTCCTGTGGGTTCAATACACGGTTGGCTCACAAAACCATTTTCGTACTCCGCCTGAACGTACTCCTTAAAAGTTTATTTATACTAACTCCAGGGGTTGAACACAGACGTCATCCCTCCAGGAATGATAACAAGATCACTGCCTAGGATGTTCATCTTCGTTTTTACGTCGTCGGTGAGATGACCACGAAATGCATCCAAGCATTGATGGTGGATTAGAGAGCCCACCGGGACGGCGTTTCCATCATTTCGGAGCCAATCGAGCATTAATGATTCGTCATCCACCCCTTCTCTTGGTTTCGATCAGGACATCATCTGGGAACAGCTTTTCATTCTTAGGGGTTTTAGGGCATGTTTTTCGTTTGAATATAAGAAAGGGGGAAGTTTGCACCCGTTGCTGTTATTGCCAGCCTCCTGTTACGCATTGTTTTTCACATCCCGAAGTTTTGATGATAACTTCCTTAGTCCCCTTCTCCATAATGGTGTAGTATGAGGCATATCAAAACCAAATTGCCGTCTCGTCAGCGTTGCCAATTTGCCCCATTGAAAAAATTCTTTTCCTTCGAGTGTGGATGACATACACTGAAATGTAGTAGTTTTCCCTCAAAATCTGCAGGAAGCTTTTGGCATATGTTGGACGGCTCTTAGAGATAAACCCATCCGCTTCAATAACCGATCCACCATCCATGGCTAGCCTAACTCTTGTTTCGGTATTCCAATAACTTCAGCCTCCTTTTGCTTTATTTCTTAGGTGTCACTAGTCACAGGTTGCCATCTCCTTTCACTACAAATTCCAAAACTTTTTTTCAATTTTAGGTGTCTTCTTAGCGAGGGCCAGTGAATTCTTTCTTTCTAGCTTTAGTGCAAACAGTGCCAATTTCGTTGCCGCCACAAGCAACATTGCTTAAGCTATGTTGAACTCTCCCTGCCTTTCTATTGCCATTTTTCAGGATATAAAGAATTACTTTAAGTTTGAAATAGTTATATGACATTCTTCTGTTTGGTCCACGTACCTGCAGTTTGCATCCTCTATGCAATAATGGTCAACGAAAATGTAAAGGTAAATGTAGCGAGAATTTGGTTGACATCATCGGCGAACTTGCACTCGGATCTAATGCGCACCCCAATTTTGAATACTACATTTGGCCAAAAACGATGCGCATTAGATTCGCGTAAATACGGTATATTTCAATAACTGGTGTAATTACTGTAAAATTATGATCAATTAAAAGCAATTTCAATAATTGTTTGGAAAAGTCAGTGGTTTGCTTAAGAAATAAAAACTTAATGCTTTGCACGAAATTACATTTATTTCATTGTATGGCTTTAAAAAAAGCCACCTAGTAGGCACATCTAAGAATTTCTTTCAACAAATACATAAAATGCTATAAGTATTTCACATCTTTTTTGCTGACACTGAAAAATGGTCATAAAATTTGAAGACAATATTATTTATGTCTACATTAAAATTTCCCATAACATACAAGTTGTTCATGGCATTTTTCATACAATGGAATATTCTACGTGCATTTTCATATGGATTCTCAAAAAAGTCAGTTATATAGTTCACTGTACTGAATACTGCACAGCTGTTGGGAATGAAAATTTGCATAAATCAGTTGTTCCTGAGCAATTGTCAAGCAGTGTAGTTTGCAATAAAAAATTATAACAAGAAAACAATTATGTTTATTAACCCGTCAGCACACGCACTGGGGTAAAATCCACGGCACATGTAGTCTTTACTTGGAAAATAAGGGAAGTTCATATGTGAGCTATCAAGATTAGGGAGGGGGCGTCATGAGGAATATTTTCTGTGTCCTTGGGATTTTGTGTTTTTTTTTTTTCCCCCGGGAAAGGAATGTGCTATGGGATTGTAGCTACCCTGTGCGTGTACTAATGTTTCACTTCTAGAGAGAATTTCATTGAGATGAGTGCGTATGAGCGAGAACAGTAACGACAGCGGGTTCTCGCTAGTATCTAAACTGATAGCAAAATTGAAAATTCCGATTCTGAGTGCGATAATATTTCTGAAAGTGATTCTGACCAGTAATATGCTGATTCACATGATTTAGGGAGCATATCTTCTTTGATAGCAGATGATTTTTATGTTTGAAAAGATGGAACAATTTGAAGTAAAAAATTACCCTCAAAAAACGTTTGAACACAGCTGCACAATATAGTGACACATTTACCTGGTGTCAAGATAAGCTTTAGAAATTTGAAAAATCCATCTGAGTGTTTATTCAGGGTTGCTACGCTACCTGGAAAACCGGAAATAGTCAGGGAATTCGGAAATTGACCGAAAAAGTCAGGGAATTTAAGTGTTTTAGTCAAAATCTGGAAGTCAGGGAATTTCATACAACAATCCCGCCAAAGAAGGCGAGTTTTGCGCCGACGTCGAAAGAGATAACTTTTTTGGCGAATTGTGTATCACGTGAGTGTCATTCGGGCTGCTGACATAGAGCCAATTTCCGCAGCTCCGATTTGATTGTCTTTTTAGAAAGGCAAGCAAGTTTCCTGCAACTTTTGGTTTCCAGTAACCTCAAGAATCGCATGTGCAGTGCATGAACTAAAGAAATACCTGTTCTCGTATAAAACAAAGGTTTAAATCCTAGTAACTGTACCATGAAGGTTAGAATTAAAAAAATATGTATGTAAAAGAAAGGGAAAAACCTCTCTGCAACAGGACGTGGCTCGGTTTCCATCATAGCGGGAAACAGCTGTGCATGCGATATAGTATCTGTCGCCAAAGCTCGAAACCGGGTCGAAGTGCGAAGGTCACGTTATCAAGAGTTCATAAATAATATCGTTTAAAATGTCTCAAAACTCTAAAGGAAGAAAATATTTTTGCGCAAGTAAATTAATTCATGGTTAGTTATTTGACGGGGGGGGAATTACGAAAATCCGTTTTAAAATATTGCAAAATCAAGAAAAACGTTCTTTGATTTAAAACGTTTCTTCTTGGATTTTTCGCAATAATTAAAAACGGATTTCCGTAGTTTTTCTTTGTCAAAGAACGTTTCTTCTTAACACGTGTTTTCAATTTCCTGTACATGCGGAGAGGGAAATTCTGGCCGTTCCGTCGTCAAATCCCTTGGCAAATTTTCCCTCTGCTTTTTACATAGACGTTCTTTGAGTCAGAAAATCTCCATGTATGGTACAGCGGGATTGGGCGACAT